ATAGCGATGCATGCGGAGACTCTTGTATCTAAACATGAAAAAAAATTATTAGAAAGCGTTTATACTTTGCGCACTGTTTTGAGTGACAAAGAAAGTACAGGCATCGATCCAGTGGTTTTCGCGTCCGCCAGAGATTTGAGCGTTTACCAGCATTTCGAGCGTCAGCTAGCATCTTAAGCGTTTTACTGTCCGTGAGAGTTTTGAGAGACTAAGTAGATGTCTCGATTGTCGCTGAAAACTCCGGCAGATGCTCAAAATGCTGACAGGCGCTCCAAACGCTGACAGGAAGTATGAACGCACTCTCAATGAGCGCATTTGACTAATAAACACACAAAAAGAAACAGAAGGCATCTAGACCTCTCGACGGGCAATAAAATCACGCGAGCTCGACCGATCATACCCCACCGCTAATCACTGGATCGCTGCACCTGCCTTTCTTTTTTTCTTCTTTCTTTTTTGTTGCTATCTCTGTTTTGTTCCTGCTTTCCGGGATTTGATTAGGTTTTGAGCGGATAATCAGCTGCTGGTATACTTGATCTGTGAAGGAGATGAAGATTGTTCTGTTACCAGGTGAAGCGGTACAATTATTAACGACAGAGCGCGGTCAACCACGGTGGCGCTATCCACAAACAGCTCTTCGGGACTGCGAGTAGCCCCACGAGGATCGCGAGACCGATTGAGTGGCGAAGTATGAGAAGTAAGAAAAAAACAAAGGAAGCTTACCAAAGGTTCTTGATATGCGCGATCAAGCAAAAATTCCTGAGAAATTAACGGTAAACGAACTGCTGCGAGGACCCTGGAAAAGGATTTAAAGAGAAAGCGAGAGCATGCCTTCAAACAGAAACGGTTTCAACATACTTCGGAAGGGATGGTTTCCTTGTAAGATCGTACTTCACCCAATTAATTGCCGCTTCGAAAACTGCCTCTTCTCCCTGAACAAAACAAGAGACATGCATTTGAGAGCTGAGAAAATTTCGTTCTACTCATTCGGTGCCAAATAGTTGTACCGAAGAAAGAATGGCTCTTGCTGAACAAGCTGGGCAAAAAAAATCAGCGGCGCTATTCCAGTAAAATGGAGAATGTAGGTGCAGATCACTCAATACATTTGAGGATTAAGCATTCCCTTGTTATACGCGATGGTAGCCGAAACTTTCTGGAAGGAGCTCCGAGTTTACTGGGACACCCCGCCCCACCTTACTGGAATAGCGCCCAATTCGCCTTCCAGAGAAAATTCTCACCTCCGTTGTAAGCCTATCGTCAGAGATCAGTTGTATGAAACTGGCTTCATCCATCGTGAGCAGCTCTTCACTTTCAATCAACAGTCTGGAACCGTGAAATCATAACAATTCTTTTGACGGTCTGAAATTGTGGGGCTATCAGCACAAAAGTTTTCACTTTAGTTCACAATGGAGCCTACAAGTCTATTACTGCTGACCCCGACCACAATCAATCGCGCTCCGCCGATAACGTTGGACCACTGCAACGGCTGAAAGAAGTTCTGTCCTGAATGTGATTCGATTAGTAGTTGCAGCGCTGTGACGATTAGCGACGAAGCGCGTCCCAGATCGTGGCGGCCGACTGATTCAGATCGCGAGGTATGAACACAGATTTCTGTCATGGTCCTACAGCGAAAAGCTAGAAATCTGACGGGAGGACAGTGGATGACGGAGCATCGAAACGTGCAAAAGAGCACGAAAAGGGCGAATACAATATGTTTTAGAACATGAAGGTCCCTGAACGGGTTAGCAATTTATGATAAGCGAAAAGGTGGGGTGTGCAAGTTTGCAGTGGGGGACGCGGTTAAGAGAGCACAAACTAGAACAGAGAACTGATGCAGCTTAAAGAACAGAGCTGCAGTAGGTCTGAAGTTTATAGGGTCAGTTTCCTCAGGCTCCCATCTTATGAAGCATTATGAGTCAGTTTGAAACAGCGTGGCAGAACAAATTCAGCACTGAGCACAGCCTTATTCGCTCCGGCTGAAGCAGCGTGTGAGTGAGGCTGGGTTAGGCGCACAGCCAACTCGTTCTCCAACAATGATTGTAGCTAGTAAACGACAACATCTAGTGAAAAACGGCTGGTACAAACGATTTGATATAGCCTTGTCGCTCGCCGAAAAAGAACAAAAGAGCTGGCGAGCGCGCCAAACACATTCCTCTGACAAATCTCATCATCCGCAACAAGCAATATTGTACATGTGTGAGTGTGACTACAAGGCGTACAACTTCTGGTTAATGGATACATACCTGAAGTGTTGGTGAGTGAACATTTGAGCAGCATGAGCCAACTGAGTGCAGTTATGTGTTTGGGCAAAGGAAGCGATTCCTAGACAATTCGTGGCATCTAATTGATCCAAGAGAAATCTGCAATGATTTTTCCAGAGGTTGAGATGAGATGAGTCAAAGTGAGTATATTTCAATCATACTGTTACCTCGAACAAGCGTCACGAACGCAGGCTAACTGAAGTATAGTTGCCGTGCTCAGTAGCAGCTGAACATTTGATTCGTCGATATCCAAGCGACCGCTGTACATGTATTCAACAAGAGAGGCTAGTGTTGCACCATCGATATCCTGGAATAACGTGGCGTGAAACAATAAAAGAAGCTATTTTGCTCGTCATGGTAGTTCCATCACATCGAGAATAGGGACGAAAGGGTGAAGCACGTATCTGTAGGTGCTACGAAGCAAAAAAATCATCATGCTGGAAAATTATTTTTAAATCTTTAGTTTTTGCACTGCATAACCATGCGTGAGCACTGGGGCGAGTGTTTGTAGGAGTCCTCCGTCCTAGAGTCCTCCCCGTGAACCGTACTAGGACCACAAGTTTCACCACACCTTGCCACGTACTTTCAGTTGAAAAGTTGTATCACATTTTCTGCAACCCTATCGAAATAGTGAAAACAATTCGAAGACAAACCCCACGACTGCATATTGTGGATAGTGGTGCTCAATTACAAACACCAAGTGACCATCCAGGGAAGAAGCAAAAATCACGGGAACACACACAAAGACACGCTCCGCGTTCATTTGATATTCAGGAAGCTCTTTCGGATATGGTAGCCTTTCCCGCAAGGATGAGAGTGTAGTAATTCCGCAGATCAAAAGTACGCCAAAGAAGCGCTGAACGCTCGCGGCAGCACAACAGACCCGCCCAATTGCCACGGCAACGCCCAACTTTCACTTCATCTGCTACCTGATGGTGCGAAGTTTGCTACTAACTCTCCATTTGAGAGTAAGGTGACAAGGAGACGGAGCTGGCACCAGAAGTGGAACTCGTTCGAACGCTCTTTCTTCGCCCTAGGCATGTACAAACGCGGTTCGGCACAGGGTTCTTTATGGAGCAGCTCCGGCAAAGTTTTTTTTATTTCTGCTTTACTGCTGGATGAGTTACTACCTTCTCATCAGAATTGGACCACCCCTTGTCCGCACCACTCTTCATTTTTGAGCTTGGGACGTGCCTTCAGGAACTACTGTTAGCGACGCTTCTTCTTAAAACAAAAGGTTCTCACCTTTATCACAATTCTATTTTTGCTCGACTCAACCATACTGCTTGTGAACATGGCCCTGAAAATTGTATCTTTAAGAGTTCTCTAGGGTCATAGTTTGTGCTGAAGAATCCAGCCAACAGCAGTGCGGGTGAAATGGATAAAGAACCTGGTAATAACAAACGCCTTATGTAATGCAAAACACATCGTTACTTCATTAAGAGCCACAGGGGAAATTTATATGCATTTCCATATTCAATGTTTGGAGGCGCAGGCCAGTGTTTTCACCCTTCCAAGCAATCTACCACAATCTACACGCTCCGAAAAGATGGAAGCCTCGGTTGTAAGGGCCCTTTCACTCGATAAGTTGTTGGCCCCTACAGAACCTTCAAAGACAAAAAGCGAAATCAACCAGTAAATTCCTGCTAAATGTTTAAATAGTTTAGTATGCGAAACAAGAAACTTTTACAGAAAAATACTTACATGAAGTATGGACATGCTGCTGCCAAAACGACTTTATGAGCAGCGATGATTGTTGGTGGAGCGCTTTCCGATTCGGCTCCACCCGCATCAATCGGGCCACTGGCTTCGATTACGACGTCGCACAGTTCATCATTTCTGAAACGTGAAACGTATAATCGCATTGCTGTGTCAATCAGGCTTGAAGCAGAAAATGGGTGCTAAAAGGCCATTCAGAAAAACCTTTGCACAATTGGGTCCCCAGTGCCGGATGCCCTTGTGTAAAGAGATCACTGCATCCTCATGGGAACTTGTTCTTCGCTGGGACGAAAACCTTCTTCCTTGTGGCGGCTAACAACTGCTACTACTCCCAAATCTCTTAGACTGCGTTCATAGTTTGCGACAACGTTCTGAGCGTACGTCTCCGTTTTCAGCTACCCGGAATATATAGGTATCAATCTAGCATTTTAAGCGTAAGCCAGTGTTTTGAGCTACTAGGAAAGCATAGGTATCAATCTAACGTTCCAAAGCAGCCTTCATACTTTGCGTCAGCGTATTTCAGCGTCCACCAGCGTTTTGATCGAATGGGATAGTCTAAATATCGATCTAGCTTGGAGCATTTTGCAGGGACTTTTGAGCTTGAGTGCCAGCGAAAACGCTCGAAACGCTGTATCGATATTTATGCTTTCCTTGTCGCCCATAACGCTGATGTACGCTAGAAAAGTCCAAAACGCCGACGCAAGGTGTGAACGCACTCTCACCTTGCTAGAATAGTGCTCAAAAATTGGAAAAATCTACCGGTGCGTACGTAGCGCAGGAACGTTACCCGCTAAGAGATGGATGATATGTCATTGACGTCACATAACAGATTGAAAACGTGTCAGTAACGTCAATGATAATGAAGAAATTCCTTGTTATTAATACGTTAGATAACAAGTTAAATCCTAGATCTCTCGAGCGACTGGACCCTGCGTCCATGACCCGCTCCACCGCCAAATGGTGCAGGTTGCGATGGGTTGCGGCGGTGCACCGCTTGGCGGTGGAGCGCAAGCGGCCCTGGTCGCGCGTCCGATCGCGAAGTTTGAACGCGGTCTAGCGGATCTGCGCTCTGTCCTGTGCCTGCTTACCTTCTGAGATTTGTGAGATTGTGGAAGAACTCGCCGGAAAGGCGGTCGTTAACGAAATGATGGACGGTTCGATCGCGTTCTGGAGAGCGGGTTCTTCGACGTGGTGGACAGTCGGACTCCGCGCACCACCCGTCCATCAACACACTGAATTCTGAAAGTAAGATGACTATAAAAATGAAATAGTAACGAAATAGACGGGATTACGAAGGAAAATGTGTTCACAAGACTGCTTTGCAGCAATAAGCATTGAATATAATCTCTACCGGAATTAGACTTAAAGGCGAACTCTCCGTTCCGAATGTGAGAGTGAGGTGATAAACAGTAAGAGCTGGCACCAGAAAGTGAGAACTCGTCCGACTACGCCCATTCTTCGCCCTATGCACGTACAAGCGCTTTTCCGCACGGGGTTCTACATGGAGCATTACGAGCGGGTTTTTTTCTGCGTTTTTCATCAATTCTGTATTATATTTACCATCTTGTCATAAACATTTGAGCAGCACAAGCCCCATTTTCGAATGGCATGCCCTTAATACGTTAGCTTACAGATTAAAACTGCTGTGAGATGGGACTCCTCCCTTTCCTAATCAAATAGCAAGTTGAATATATTACCCGACCAACATAAAGTCAAACGTAACCTTGCAAGCTTGGATTAATGAATGTAAGATTGTTTGAAAATAACCAACGAAACAAAAACAACAACAATTACATGAACAGAAAGAACACCCACTTACGAAAACTTCTTTTCAATTCCCTTCCATTCTTACAGAACTGACCTGCTGCGGCCTGATATTTTGGTTACTAAAATTTTCTCCTCGATGGTCAATCGACCTGATCAGCTGTTATTACAACAGTCGGTGTCGTTCTTGGTAGCAGGTACAAGCACAGAGCGCAGAGCGTTGAAATAAGCTCAAACCTTCGAAAAGCTGTTACTTCAATGAATGAAACACTTTCTACAGCCAGGGCACTGTTGTAAACATGTTTATAGAAAACAACCCCTGGCTACTCTAGGAACTGAGAAAACGTTATATAGCCGTCATATTCAGTGTGCTGTACGCAGTTACTTGTGCCCTCCTTGCAATTTATTTGACGCGTAATCCTATGGGTCGCCTCCCGGGAGAGTTGACGCTGTGGTGACACTAAATGAGCACCGGTATTCGAACAAAGTTTGGTTTTACCAACCAACATTGCCTCACTTTAGGTGAACCCGAAGAGGTGTAGGATTTTCTGGTGTTACCCAGAGCTGGAAGCTCTCCTGGTCCTACTCTGTTGCGAATCGGGGTCCCAAGTGGACTCTGAAGTTCTGAATGGTTTGTGCGGCTCAAATACTAATGACAAGATGACAAATAACACAATGAAGAAGAAGAAAGGTCTTAAAACTTACCCGAATTGCCCCATTCGGAATATCATGCCGAACGAACCGTGCCTGTACATGCACAAGGCAAAGGAAGGGCGCGGCCGGATAAGTTCTCGATTGTTGGTATTAGCTTTTTTTCCTTATACCTCGTTTCAGCATTCAAACTGGGAAGTTAGCAACGGGACAGTCGCACCATCAGGCAGCAATTGAAAGTGGACATAGGGCGTCACCGTAGCTAATGGGCGGAGCCGTGGTTTAGCGCTGAGCAGGCAGCGCTTTCCACACGTATTTTTGAGCTGTGGAAAAAGCATATCCTCCGTGATTGCAGGTATTACTACGGCAGCGTTCAGAATTGTAGTGCTACGTCGCGCTACAGTTGTACACAACAACATACACACAACATAGTTCTGAATTTTTATAACTTTTTTCGACGTCGTTTTTTCACATTCAATCTTCACAAAACGAATATAGTCATGCATTTACACACTAGCACACTAGGCCCCGCCCCTCTGACACACTCCACTTTCGTTTTTCGCAGAATTGATTATTCTTCCGAATTCTCACTTTTTTAGGCGGTGGCAAGCGGCCCCGCCCACTAATGGAGGCCCCGCCCACTTTTCAAAAATGATGCAGATCGGCGAGTTAGTGTCCATACTGACAGGTTATGACCTTTCCCGTCACATTGAATGAAAAAGGGAGAGACCAGAAAAAAAGGGAAACTTTGCTCCGGGTGACGTGAGAGGCCATAACCCACTAGTACGGTCACTAGCTCGCCGATCTGCATCATTTTCGGGAAAGTGGGAGGGGCTCCTACAAGTGGGCGGAGCCTCCATTAGTGGGCGGATATCGCTTGGTCATGGGCTGTAAAAGTGAAATTCGGAAGAAATAATCAAAAAAAAAGTCAGAGGGGCGGGGCTTAGTGTGCTAGTGTGTAAATGCATGACTATATTCGTTTTGTGAAGATTGAATGTGAAAAAACGACGTCGAAAAAAGTTATAAAAATTCAGAACTATGTTGTGTACAATTGTAGCGCTACAGCTGTAGCGCGACGTAGCGCTACAAGTCTGAACGCTGCCTACCATGCTCAGAAAAGCGCCTGAGCATCAAATGAACATGGGGTGCACCGTTAAGCTTCTTCTACAAAATCTGTGTGAACAACACTTAATAAACAGACCGCCAGCGCTGGCAGAGGCTCCCAGGCAGTCCTCTACCGCCTAGTTACGTTTCCTTCTTAAAGACTACTGCGCTCTGTGAGCAACACTGCATAATGCGATAACGATCTGGTTAGGTTACACCTGAGTGTCACTAGCTCATGGAAGAACTAATGCGTTCATAGTCTGACTAGTAATTATACTGATCTAGGCAAATGATCATGACTTGCCATGAACTTACCTAAGGTCGGGTGTGCACCTTCGACCCGCTTTTGGAGCAAGAGAATTTGGTAGAGTTCACCAGTTGCGACAGTTTTAATGACTGAAGGTCCCGCCTATCCGCCGCCGAACAATGTACTAGACAAGTAGGGTGGCCCTCATAAAAATGTGGCAAAACTGGACTAGAAGGGGTGGTGCCATCGATATGATGACGATCACGGACAGGCCGTGCTGCACGCTCTGAGGGGCTGGAGGAGTGGGCGATTCTCGCAATCCGACACACTCATTCGAGGGAAATTTTCCCGCTGATCGACGTAGCATTGTGCCTTCCTTATTGCGTTCTGCCTTCTTACCATTAGAGTAATGCGAAGCAATGAGGAGGCACCTGAGGCCCGATTCCCCCACAGAGGGTTCTTCACTTTCAGACACGCTGAATTGTAGCAGACAGAATAAAATACTGGAAGTGAAAAGTTGAAATAATGTGTGCTAAAACGTAAAGGGAACAAAACGGAGAAGATCAAGATCAAATTGGAAGTCGAAGTGGTTGCGCGCGAACGCGGCATTATACATAAAAGGATCATCATTTGAATCACTATCATTCCTCTCCACACAACCCTATCCTCCGGAACCTTGCTTTTCTCGAATCACTAGTAAACCGTTTCCATCTCTACTCAATTCGTAATATGTTATTTGCTCAGAAGTCGTAAAGCAGAACCTATTTGTATCGGTTCGAATACGTTTTCTATAAGCCCATATATTAGGTTTTCCGGAAAGGTATTAGGTTGTCCGGAAAAGTTCTCAGCGTTTTGTGTTACTATTTTTTGTACATTCATTGCTGATTAAAAACTCATTCTCCCTTGCGTCTCAGTAGTACATCCTGAAGAGAATTTTTGCGCTATCTGATGGTATAATTGCCGTTTCACCATTGCTTGATAAACCCCCTTTTCCCAAGACTTTTTGAAGCATGTCAAAAGAGCAACTTCGGACGATATTTTTCTTCAACTATTGGGAAAGCCGCAGTCGAGAGACAGCT